ACTTACACACACCCGTGTGTGCTCTTGCACGCTCAGCTGTGCTCACAAGTGTGCACTCACCCCCCCCCCAACCCCCTGCAGCCCCCCCGGCACAGCAGAGCCCCCCGAAACCGGCGCTGGGGCAGGACGGGATGGGGAGGGGCGCCCCCCCCGCCGCCGGCCCCGGGCTGAGGCCGGCAGCTCGTGACAGCGGTGGCCGCCAGTGCCCTGCGGTTTCCTGCCGGGCCGGTTATTTTGGGCAGCGGGAGCAGCCCAACCAGACGGAAAAGCTGACGGAGCCGTGGGCGGGGAAGGCGCGGGAGGGGCCCAGGCGTCCGGGAGGGGCAGAGGCCCCCCCCACCCCGGCTGGGCCCCCCCGAGGCCACCCGCCCTCCCTCCCAGGTTGTCCCTATGGGGAGGGGACGCACGGGTCGTGTCCCCCCCCCACGAGTCGTGTCCCCCCCCTGCCCACCCCCACGTGAGCCCTGGTGTCACGGCCACCCTCAGCCCCTAGGGGTGCCAGGCGGGGGACACCGGGGGGGGGGGACACGCCCGGTGCTACACCGTGCCGAGACCCCCGGGCAACCCTCGTCCTGACCCACCCTCCCCGGGCAACCCTCGCGTGGGAACCCCCGGTGCCAACCCCAGCAACCACCGTGCTACAGCCACAACAACAACCCTCGCGCTACAGCCGCTGCGTGCCCCACCATGGTGTACCCCCCCCGGCAGCCCCTCGTGCACAGCCCGGCCCCAGGCGTGGGAAAGGGGGGGGGGGGGGGCGGTGACGCCTGGCTTTAATTAGTGCGGCTGCGGCTAATTGGGAGCTCATGGCGGCGCGAGGGGGTGCAAGGGCACACGCGCGTGCAAGGGCTCCCCGTGCACGAGACGGGGTGACGTGGGGGCTGCCACCGGGCGGCACGGGGGACATGGGGGGACACGGGGTGGCACGGTGGGGACACGTGCGGAGGGACATGGGGTGGCACAGAGGTGGCGTGGGGACGTAGAGGGGGACACGGGGGTCGCACAGGGCTGCTGGGGGTGACATGAGGGTGACGCGTGGCAGGAACATTCGGGGGACATGGAGATGGAGCAGGGCTCCCATAGAGGTGGCACAGGGCGGGTGTCACATAGGGGACACGGTGGCATGGGGGGGCACTGGGAGCCACATGGGAGTGACGCCGGGAGGGACTGGGGGGGCACTGGGAGCCACGGGGACAGGGGACCAGGGGCACCGGGACTGGAAAGCACTGGGAGGGAACACCGGGGAAGAGGTGACCCTGGGACAGGCAGGGTGACAGGGGAACTG